ACAATATGGGCCCCCTATTTGGCCTTCTCTGATGCCACTCCTGCAGAGTGTTTGGGGCAGCTCTTCATAGCTTAGTGAGGGTGGAAGGCCAGATAGCCCACTGGCCTTTTCTGGCATTTGGCTAGAGAAAAGTGATTATTTCAAAGTTTTGGGTCTTGCTGGACTGCCCCTTTCTTGGTCCTTTAGTCAAAAAGAGCAGGCCTCTTGGGAGTTTTTCTCTCTGTGACTGCTCTCCTTTCCAGGTTGCTGCTTAGTCTGGCATGTCTGAGGCAGAAAGAAAACTCAGGGAGCTCACCACCATGTTTCTCAGGTCCCGGGGTCCCTAGCCAGTCTGCCTTCTTCTGTCCTCCCTTCAGAGTCATCTTATGTTTGTTTTATATGTAATGTCCAGAATTTTTAGTTGTGTTGAGTAGGTGAAACAGGGAAAAATCTATATGTCTACTCCATCTTCAAAGAAAGGAAAAAGATTTTTATGAAGAGACTGTCTCCTGTCTGGATGCTGCTGTAATTATTTTCTTTCTTTCTTTGCTTAGTTGCTCAGGCTGTAGTGCAACAGTGCAATCATATGTCACTAGAACAATCATATGTAACCTAGAACTTCTGGCTTAAGCATTCCTCCTGCCTCAGCCTCCCCAGTAGCTGGGACTACAGGTGTGCACCACCACACCTGGCTAATTTAAAACATTTTTTTAATTTGTAGAGATGGGATCTTGCTTTGTTGCCCAGGCTGATCTTGAACTTCTGGCCCCAAGCAATCCTCCCACCTTGGCCTCCCAAAGCTCTGGGATTACAGATATGAGCCACTGTGCCTGGCCTGGATGCTTCTTGTAATTCAAGTAATCCCCTTTTCTGTTCCGACCTTTGTCTCACATATAGGTAGTTTTATTAAAGAACGAAAATTCACTTGCTGTGTAAGAAAATAACCCCATTAAGGTTGTATCAGCAACGGGAATTTTTTTCTTACAACTTTCTTATTTTAGATGGGATTTATATACAGATTATTAAGTTGCTGTCACAGGTGATGGCTCAAGTTAAAAAAAAAAAAATAGCCCCTTCTATTCCCCTCTGGTCACTTTGTTTCTCTGATGGGGTTGGCTTGCATCCCAGGGTTGGGATGCTGACCCATGTCCCAGAGCCATGGGTGTGCTGTTTTCTGTCCTCCATGACTTTCTGACCCTCACCCCAACTGCTCTTTTGGCTGGAGCAGGCCTGTGAGTCACGTAAGGTCTGCAGACTCGGCCTCCGAAACCCTTCTCTGGGAGGTGGGCTCAAGGGGAGTTTCTCCTTACATTCTGAAGACCACTGGGAACCATGTACGCCTGGCTATGTCAGCCACCTCGTCAGGCTGAGTGTGGCTTCGCTGTAATATCCCTGGAGAGGCAGTCTTTGAGGTCAGCATCTAAAATCAAAATATTAAACAATTAGGAAACTGATGCACATCAGATCCAAGAGTGAGTCAGGGAGAAACAAGAGCTAGGAAACTTTGTGTAATGTATAGTTATTCCAAACGAGTTGAGTTTGATTAAACACTTGTATTTTGTTATTACAACTGTCCAGAGTGGATTTGGAAGAAAGTATTTACTTCCTGTGTCCCACCCTCAAAACTGTTCTCCTGGAGACTCAGTCATGTGTATAATATTTTTCAAAAACCTATCACTGTAGTATTCTTTCTTTTATTGCTGCTATTATATATCCAAATGAGAATTTTTTTGCTACATTTCTTATGCATATTTTTATCCTGATTACCTTTTTTTTTTTTTTCTTTTTGAGACAGAGTCTCGCTTTGTTGCCCAGGCTAGAGTGAGTGCCGTGGCGTCAGCCTAGCTCACAGCAACCTCAAACTCCTGGGCTCAAGCAATCCTCCTGCCTCAGCCTCTCGAGTAGCTTGGACTACAGGCATGTGCCACCATGCCCGGCTAATTTTTTCTATATATATTAGTTGGTCAATTAATTTCTTTCTTTTTTTTTTTATAGTAGAGACGGGGTCTCGCTCAGGCTGGTTTTGAACTCCTGACCTTGAGCAATCCGCCCGCCTCGGCCTCCCAGAGTGCTAGGATTACAGGCGTGAGCCACCGCGCCCGGCCCCTGATTACTTTTTAAAGATGTTGTGGTGTTATGTCATTATCTTATAGTAATGTCTAAGACTTAGACTTTGGGTCTTAAGAGATTATTTTTGAATTAGTTGTATCAGTGCTTCAAGTGAGGTAATGGGTACTGCTTTATAAATTGTCCAGTTTTAAGGATATTGTCATTTAAGAATGAATAGTAAATTGTGTTTACTTTTTTTTTAATTATGGAAATACTTTACAAGGCTATTTGCTGGAAGAATATGTGATGGCCTTGTGGTTTGGATCCTGTCATTTTTATAGACTTCCCTCGGTGGCTTCCAGACATAACATACACCAAAGAGGAGGAAAAATCCTTCCCAAGAACATGCCATAGTCTGATTTTGATTTTAAAATAGTTCTAAGTGTGATAGAAAAAAGATTCATCAAAAATAATGTAATATGCTTATTTTAGGGCAAGTTCCAAGCTCAAGACTCAAAGAAAGAGTCAGGCGTGTGACTCAAAGAACAGGGCCAAGTGGCCCCATGCGAAGCGCCCCCAGTTCCCTGCAGGTGGAGGGAGAGAGAGGAAGGCAGAGGCCGGCTGGTCAGGGGAGGACCAAGGGGCAGGCGTGGCTGCTTTCCCCTCCCCCAACTGCAGCCAGCAGGAGCGACCAGCCCATGAATCTTTCCACTTAAATTTGGACTTCGCTGGCAGCAGCAAAGCCTGTGTCACTCTTCAAGGCCCTTGTCCTCTACCGTGAGAACATGGATGGAGTCGAAGGGAAACACCTGCAGCTTCATTGCTGTGACCGACTCTGCTTCCAGCTGCGGATCTGAGTATTTAAAGTGGCCCAGGAGGCTGACTGGGCTGTCCCAGAGGTTGTCTCAGAGAAGAGAGAGAAAGAAAGGAGAGGGAACAGTAACTTGCAGAGAATCACCCAGGAAAGCATCTTACCTGGTTTTCTTTTTAAAATGGAGTGTGAACTAGTTATATGATGGGTGGGTGGGAAATGAATGAGTAAGGGTAATTGGTATAATTCATTTGCACCTATAAAAGCGGCTCTGGCCCTACAGAGAGACTAGGTAAACTTGCTGAGGAAAACCATTCCTGGCCGCTGTGGGCATCCTTAAAGCTGGGAGGCAGCCGATCGGGCTGGATAGCACATAGCGTCATCCTCGGGAAGTACAACTTGTTTACATGCAAACCTGTGTGTCTCCATCGATAAATTGTGCTGTCGTCTGAATACTTGCTCTGTGGCTCCACTGGGCACGCTGTCCCTCTTCCCTAGCAGCTCTTCCCTGAGAGCAAGGGGGTGATCTGGGGCCAGGAGGCTGGGCTCCCCATGTCCCTGGCACAGCCCTCGGAGGCCGACTGTCCTGGAGGCCCCCGTGAGCCTGCAGGAGCAGGGAGCCAGCAGCAAGGAGGAGGAGGCAGTGTTCATGCACTTACCCGATACCAGCTGAGCTCTGACCCTGGCAGAAACTGAGCCAGGCCTGGGGTGACTATGGGGAACAAGACAGGCCATGTCCCTGCCCTCATGGGACTTGCTCTCTAGGGGGAGACTGACAATGCAGAAATGAACAAATGCAAGTGTGGTCCAAAGTGAGAGAGTGAGTGGGGGGTAGAGAGCGATGGGGATGGGGTGAACTGTTGCGAGTTGGGGTCAGGAAGGCCTCTCCGAGGAGTGCACTTGAGCCGAGGCCTGGATGGAGCGTGGGAGCCATGGAGCTGCCCGGGCAGTGCATTCCAGGCCAGGGGAGCAGTCGGTGCAAGGCCGTTGGGCTGGTGTGTCCCAGGCCCAGCAGGAGGGCTGGTCTGACTAGAGAGGAGAGATCCACAGTGGGTGGCAGGGGCTGCGTCTGGAGGGGCAAGCTGGGCCACAGCGTAGGCCCTTTTTCTTTTTGTAATAAACATTTACTCCAAAGGAGTTGAATTTGATGAAACTTGCATTTTGTTATTAAAACTGTAAATATTTGGCTCGAAGTCTGATGGGAGTACCTTGAGCCGCAGCATGACACTATCTGATTCAAGTGTTTAAAATGTCACTCTGGCCTCTGGTTGAAAACAAAACCGTTCAGGGGCTCAGAATGTCAGCAGAGGGACAAGTTAACGCAGCTGATAAGTCATGCTGGTCAGCGATGGCACGGCTTGGGCACTCGTGGGTAGGGAGGTGAGAAGGGGTCAGATTCAGAATAGATTTGCAGGTAGAGTCTACCTGCCTTTTGCTCTCCTCCCCTTGGAAAACGGAGCTTGAGGGGAAAGTGGCCCCAGGGGTCTGCCTGTGCCCCCTGTCTTGGGGCACCCAGGGTAGGGTGACAGGAGGAAGGTGTAGTTGCCTTGTCCCCGAGCCTGCACACTTTGTGTACAGAGCACCTGCGTGCTCCATCCTCACCTCCAACCCTGTGAACTCGGCAGGGCAGGTACCAACCCCTCTGTGCCACAGGCGAGGAGACGCGAGTGCCCTGCATGGAATTATGAGGAGTTTGCAGAGCCAGGGAAAGCACTTTGAGATCATCAGGAATGAAGAACCCTGTGATTTCTTCTCTTGCAAAGAATGCATGTGGCCCGTACAGCGGGGACCCAGCTGAGCTTTTAGTGGTCAGGTTGTGGTGGACATTCTCCCTCTTCCAAATGTTCTCTTGACATAACGTTGTTTATGTAGTTTAAAAAGAAACAAAGCATTCCCATTTCATGGGGTTAGACCAAAAAGTAGTTGAATTACTGAAGCTGTGTGGAAAAAGAGCCTCTGATTGCACCGAAGCAGCAGCCAGATCCGACTATAGACACTTCGCTGTTTTTGCAGAAGGTCTGTGGCTGAGTTAAGAGAGGACTTTCATCCACTGGGATCGTTTCTATCCGCCCTTTGAGTCAGGGATGTCTTTGCTTGGAGGAGGTGCCTGAAGTTATTTCCAACTTCTGACATGTCCTAATGAAGTTAACATTCTTTACAGCTTAGACCATTCTCAGCCTCCAAGCAGCCTCGTCATCGACAAGGAATCTGAAGTTTACAAGATGCTTCAGGAGAAACAGGAGTTAAACGAGCCCCCAAAACAGTCCACGTCATTTCTGGTTCTGCAGGAAATCCTGGAGTCTGAGGAAAAAGGTAATCAGCCCACCTTCGGGCAGAGGCCCCTGTTCCAGGTCTGGTGTGGGGGGTCAGTCACCGCGGAAGCACAGGTGAACGCAGCCCGGAGTGGGTGGAAAGAGCACAGTGTGCTTGGGAAGGCACAGACTTCTAAAATGCTAAAGCTTCTTTTTTAAAAAAGTGAGAGAAAGAGAGTGTGCCCTCCTGACCACACTTTCCTTCCCCAGGGTCTTTATTTAGGGAGCTCCATGCCTGGCTGGCTTTGTCTTTCACATGTGCATCAGGTCACCGAGGTCAGAGTGAGCTTTGTGGGATTCTGTTGGTCTGTCCCTCTGCCATTTGCTTGGTCGGAGCCCACATACCACGGTCTGGTGGTGGCCGAGGAGCAGGAGTGGGTGAAGGCTGTGGCGATGAGAAACAGAACGAGGACGCATCAGTGCCCGGCGAGGCCAGGCGCCTGGCTTGCCTATGAGGCCACGTGTTTGCTTTTGCTCTAGGGTAGATGGCCTGTCGAGGGCCTGAGAGCCCAGCGTGGCCACATCCTTACCGTGCGACCTTAGGCACGTCTCTGAACCTTTCTGGGCCTGTTTTTCTCATCTGTCCACTGGGGACAAAAATCCTTCCCACCAAGACTGTTGTGAGGATCAAATGTCATAATTGTGCAAAACTCCCATCATGCAACTGAGCAGGTGCTTCATAGTTATTGTGATGTTTGAAACCTCATCAAGATGCTCCCTTGTCCGCGGGGCGAGCTCTGATGTGTGAGGCACCCAGGGCCACCCGTGTGGTTCTGCAGGTCTCAGGAGACAACGCTTCATATTGTAAACATCAAATACCGTCTGTTTTATAATATGATAATGTTCAAGTGGATAGCGGGTATCGTCACAGAATAAGGACAGTCTATTATGAGATATTTGTGGCAGGTACTTGTGTTGGAGAAGGGATGCTTTTTTCCCTTCTCCCAAAGACAGCCTGCGGGTGGGTGGCCTGCTGGCTGTCATCCGCACCTCCTGTGATTCTCACTGCCAGCCGTCTCTGGAGAACTGGGGTTTGCACCCTTTCCTGGTCCCTGTGATACCCCTCCCTCCACACTCTGTCTTGGTCCCTTTCTCAGGGGCTCAGGCACCTCCCTGGAGCCACCTTCCCCTGCTCTCTCTTCCTCCCCACAACGTGCTCACCTGTGAAGACAGAGTTGACTCTCCTAGCAGGGACACCTGGTGATTATGAGCGTGAGACCTGCTTCAGCCAGGCTGCAGAGATCGGTGTTGGCTGAGACTGGGTGCCCTCTGGAAGGAGGGAGAGCAACCTCCCTCCTCAACGCTCCCAGCTACAGATTCTTCTTGCCGGGGAGTCCTTCCTGAGTGGCAAGTTCCCTACTGAACACACCCAGAAATATTAGGGCTGTGGGGTTCACTGGAAGAAGGGAAATTTGGACATTGTTTTAGTTTCCTGGAGTCCAAAGGAAGCTAATATTTTTACTGTAAACTAGTTGAGAAGAAAGGTAGAAGAGCAATTTCTTTGAATTCACAGTGTTGGCTGGATTGGTGAGAGACCAAAAAACCCTCACGCCAGCAGGTGGCGCTGCAGGGCTGAACAGGCTGCAGTGAGGACTGTGTTATTTAGCGGTGCCCAATTTTATCCAGTTAAGTCTCTTCGTTCCAGGAAGGAATGTGGTTTCTCCTACTAAGTGGGGATTTCATGTCCCTCCTGGCCTTCTTTCATTGTACCCTCTTGCACCTCTTCCCTTTCCTGGTGATTTTTCTGTTGATGGGTGAGTTAGGTGAAAAATCCCATCACGTGAGAGACCCCAACCTCACTGGGCTGGTTCTTTTGGCTCAGTCGCTTTGCATTTCTGAGCTGTGAGGTCTGCAGAGGTGCTGCCATTTCCTTGTCATAGGGGGTAGGCAGCCAAGGTGGCTACAGCACCGTCAGTCAGAAAATGAGGGAGCCCATTTGAGACACTTGGAGGAGTTGCCCACTCAGGCCCTTCTGAGACCCCTCTAGGCAGGGGCAGGATTAGGGTGAGGTGAGTGAGGCATTGCCTTGGGTGCAAAATTTAAGGTGGCAATAGAAAACTCAAAAATCAAGACAAAAATGTCAGTTTACGCAATATTTTTAAAAACTCAAAGTTAATACAAAAAAATATGAATGAACAAAACTGGGGCTGTGGCCTCATCCCAAAGGAAGGGAAAATGGAAGCAGGAAGGTGTTTCCCCCTCACCGGCCTGCTGGCAGGGCAGGGCCGGGCCTTCCCGGCCTGTCTGTAGAGCTCACGACGGAAAGCGCTGGAGCCTCCTAATCGCTGCCCCATCTCCTGTGTCGCCAGAGGGACATCTGTGTGCCTCAGGTCCCCCGTGCAGGAGGGTCCCGGCTCTGAGGGGGAGGCTGGCTGTGCCACGTGCAGCACCAGAGGGCTCTGGGCAGTCCAGGCTGCAGTCACGTGCTTCCAGCAAGTGCCCCAGACTAGGTCTCGCACTGTCAGTCAGCAGTGGGCGCCTGGTGTCCACGGGGCGGCTGGGCAGCTGTGGCTCAGCCGGCCTTGGCAGGGAAGGGCCTGGCGCCCGCAGCCTTCTCATTCCGGGAGCCCAGTGAAGGGAGAGGCTCTCTCTGCGGCTTGTTGTTCATGGCACAGGGCACAAGCTCCATGGGGACGGGGCCAAACCACACAAGTGCACTTAGTGCTCTTGCCTGAACAAAGCTCACATCTGCTCAGATTCCACTGGCCAAAGTCTGTGGATGGGGTCGTCTCCTCCCCTGAGAGCAGGGTTTCTCAGCCTTGAAGCTATTGACATTTTGGTGACATTTGGGGCTGTAGGAGCCCCTGTGGTGGGCTGCCCTGTGCATTTTGGGATGGCCAGCAGCACCCCTGGCCTCTGCCTGCTAGATGCTAGTGGCACTCCCCTCCAGTTGTGACAACCAAAACTGTTCTCTAGGGGACAAAATCACTCCCAGTGGAGAAACACTGACCAGAGAGAAGCCTGGCAAGGTGGGGAGGGATGATTGTGGGCAAACTATATAGCCAGCCATGCCAGCCAGGGGCATCCTGAATACCCCTTCATCTCAATTTTCGGTTCAGTAGCACTGGTCAGATCCAGGGACTCATTTTCTAAAAGGATAAGAGAGCCAGGGCCCTCATCGGCCAGCCCCAGGATCGCCCAGCAGGACTGCAGTTATGGGGTGGCCCTCTCCCCTGCCCCTTGCCTTGCACAGGGAGCCCTTTCTTTGCTCTTGTTCTTGGTCCAATAAGTAGTTCCTGGACCAGCGGCACCAGCACCACTTAGGAGCTTGTTGGACATGCAAATTCTTGGTCCTTCTGGATCAGAAACTCTGGGGGAAGAGCCGAACAATCTGTGGTTTAGCAAACTCTCCAGGAAGTTCTGAGGCACAATAAAGTTTGAGAACAGCTGCTTTAATCTAAGAAAGAAGTGGGTTAGCCAGGGGTGTAAGATAGAATATCCTGCCCCTGGAGATGGCCATTCAGCAGATCTATGGGAGAGGCCCTGGTCTGTGAATTTTATGAACTCTCTCCTGGAGCCTGGGATGCTCCCAGGTGGCTGTTTCAATCCTCCAGTGGTGTAGAGATGTCTGTAGCTTCCTGGGCTAAAGCACATTGGACTAAGGTAGGGACTGTCATGCACCTGTCACGGCATCTTATCATTCATTTCTGTACATTCTTGGAGCCTCCGTTATTTGCTGAGCCCTGTGCTAGGCTCTGTGGGGCATATAAAAAAATATGTAAAACAAGATTCTAGTGCTTGAGTAATTCGCAGTCTGGGGAGAGAGACATGTATAAATAGCTGATGAGCACAGCAACACTGCTAGACTATGTCATGGTACAGAGATAAGTGGCGTGGAAGCACAGACAGTTAGCATTATTAGTAGCTGCCACAACTGGGGGCTTTGTTACCTGGGGTGTGATGAGCGGGGCTGTAACAGGTCGGCATCCAGCAGCCAGGGGCTCGTTTTATATGCACCCAACTGACTGTAGAGAGGCTCCCCCCTCTGCTCTGTAGTAGATGAATTTCAGCTCTAGCTTGCTGTACTGTGATGATTTTGTTCCTTTTGTGATCTGGTTTCTTTCTACATCTAAGTAATTTGTGTTGCTAGGTATTGCAGGAGGGCTTTATGTATGTATATTAATCTTTTTATATAATAGTAAAGGGAAAAATAATCTCCTGTTTTATAGAAAAAGAAACTGGGGACCAGAAAGGTTAGGTAACTTGCCCAGGATCACACAGCAGAGTCACATCTGTTTGACTGCAGTGCCCATGACCTTGCTTGAACATATATTTAAGTGGCTCTGGGATACTTACGCAAGTCTGCCCTTCCCAGCCAACACGAGTGTTTTCCTCATTTCAGGGGATCCCAGCAAGCCCTCAGGATTCAGAAGTGTTAAAGCTCCTGTCACCAAAGTGGCTGCATCGATTGGAAATGCTCAGAAGTTGCCCATGTGTGACAAATGTGGCACTGGGATTGTGTGAGTATCTGCTTCCCGCCGTCCTTGCGGGCCCTGCAAGTTGGGTGAACCATGAAAATGTGGGAATTGCTGGGTGTGGCACATTTTGGGTGTGAAGGAGACAAATCCTGCCTGGGAAAATGGAGCAGAGAGGCCGAGTAGGTCCTGTGTCCCGGAGGCAGGTTCTCCTTTGCCGCGGAACCCTTAGGTTTTGAGTGTGTAAAACCAGTAACAGCAGGGCCGCCCTGCTGCGGTAGGAGGGGATTCTAGAATAACGTCTCTGGACGGTGGGGATGAGAAGCCCCTATGACTGCAGGCCAGGTGGGAGGCGCCGGGCCACCCTTGATGGGTTTCTGCAGAGCAGCCCCAGACCCCAGCCCCGGGAGGATGGTGCAGAACCCTGGTGCCACCTGCAGGCGTTTGTCACTGACGGAGCTCCTCTCCCCCCTTGCTCCTACAGTGGCATGTTTGTGAAGCTGCGGGACCGCCACCGCCACCCTGAGTGTTACGTGTGCACCGACTGCGGCACCAACCTGAAACAGAAGGGCCATTTCTTTGTGGAGGATCAAATCTACTGTGAAAAGCACGCCCGGGAGCGGGTCACACCCCCCGAGGGCTACGATGTGATCACCGTGTTCCCCAAGTGATCGGCAGATGTGCAGCGACCGCTGCTCCCCAGCCAGCCTCTGCTGCAGCTTGTTCTCTGATTGTTCCTGCCCTCTCTCTCGAAAGTTCTGTGCTTGCCTGGTTTGACCCCTGTGCATTAAACTTGGGGCTCATGCCTTGGTTAACTGACTACTCCGCCTGCGTGATGCTGCTTTTACAGTTAACGGGACGCTCTTCTGTCCAGTGTCCCCTTACCAGCGTCACTGCGTATGTTCCTCACCTCAGTTCTCTGCTGAGATGGACGTCAGCCAAATCTGAACCAGATCAAATTTGATGCCTGACATTGATTTTGTTTTTACTCAATAAATTTACAGCCTCCTAAGCAGAGTGGTGTCGTTTATCATTTGGCCTGTGTGTCTTATTTCCCATCTCGAGCCTGCTGAGATTTCTGAGGCCTCTTCTCTTCTTATTTTGGGTTTCCTGTTTCTCTGAAATCTGTAGGCCTTTCCCCCAGGTGTGAGAAAACTGGCATCTGAACAAGCCATGTTCTTATAATTGTTTGAAGCTTGCTCCAAGTTATCCTTCTCTGATGCTAATATAAGATACTTCGCTCTGTTTTAATAAAATAGTATTTTCTTTACACCTGCCTGTTCTGAGGCTTATTGAGGAAATGAATACTTCCCAAAGAATATAGACGGGGAGCTTTACCAGTTGGCCTCAGAACATTCCCCAATAAATCTCTCTCCAGGCTGGTTGCCGCCATCGCAACTGCCCTCCTGTGTGAAGGGCAGCAAGCTCGGGAACGTGGCCATCAGCAGCAGAGAGCTCAGGGACGTGACCAGCGTGTCCTCCTCACAGAAGAGACTGGGAACCCTGGCTGTTGAGGAGTTCTGAGGTCACCATAAATTATCTCCTGGTGACTATTTGGTAATGGAGTCATTTGCTCAAACAGTGGTCATCCCACCCTTCCAGAGGCTGAGACTAAGCAATTGTTATGAGAGGTGGACAGGACACTGCGACCAACCCTCCTTCCTCCAAAAGAGCAGATATCTTTGAGCAGTATTTGCGACCATGGGTAATAGTATATGACCTTTATTGATAAAGTTACTAACTTCATGCTTACTCTAAGAATAAGGATTTTAGGCCGGGTGTGGTGGCTCACGCCTGTAATCTTACCACTCTGGGAGGCTGAGGCGGGAGGATCGCTCAAGGTCAGGAGTTTGAAACCAGCCTGAGCGAGACCCCGTCTCTACTAAAAATAGAAAGAAATTAATTGACCAACTAAAAATATGTATAGAAAAAATTAGCCGGGCATGGTGGCGCATGCCTGTAGTCCCAGCTACTTGGGAGGCTGAGGCAGCAGGATCACTTGAGTCCAGGAGTTTGAGGTTGCTGTGAGCTAGGCTGACGTCATGCACTCTAGTCCAGGCTACAGAGTGAGACTCTGTCTCAAAAAAAAAAAAAAAGGATTTTAGTTAGACAAGCGGTGCTGGGATTTCATGCCACAGACTCTGAGACCAGAATGCACTGTGGGTAGTTGATACATGAGCCATTCTAGTGCTGCAAAACCCAGAGCTGAAACCTTTCAGATGGAAAATTTCTTCATGTTAAAGTTTTCAATTTTTTTTTGCAGTTAATTAGTCCTTACTTTAAACCTCATCTATTTCTAAGCTTGTAAAAGGCAAGGTGGCTTAAACTTTGCAATTCTAAGAAATCAATATAAAATGAAAACTCTGAACCATAGCAAATCTGACTCATTTACAGATGCAGTAAGAACGGGGATTTGGGTTTGGTTGGAAAAGGATAGATAATAGTTTCTTAGAACTTTCTCCAATCTCTCTCCTCAGATAATGTGCCTATCAAATATCTGACATTTATCTTGTTCAGTAGCACTATTATTTCTTAGGAGTGGGTCTTGCACACGGGATGTCTCACTTCCAGTGAATGCCAAACACTAAGAGCTTCAGGTGACTGCGCATGCCTATGTTCAAATGAAAGGAATGGTCTCATGTCTCTCACTTTAAATCAAAAGCTAGCAATAATTAAGCTTAGTGAGGAAGGCATCATGAAAGCTGAGACAGGTTGAGAGCTTGGCCTCTTGCACCAAACAGCCAAATTGTTAATACAAAGGAAAAGTTCTGGAAGGAAATTAAAAGCGCTACTCCAGTGAACACTTGATTGATAAAAAAGCAAGATAGCCTTATTGCTGACATGGAGAAAGTTTTACTGGTCTGGATAGAAGATCAAGCTAACCACGACATTCCCTTCAGGCAAAGCCCAGTCCAGAGCAAGGTGGCAATGGTTTGAATATTTGTGCCCTCCAAAACTCATGTTGAAATTTAATCCTCAGTGTGGCAGTATGAGAGGTGGGACCTTTAAGAGGCCATTGGAACAGGTTGTCTCTGCCTTCACAAATGGATGAATTCATTCACAAATTAATATATTAATTGGTTAATGTGTTAATGTATCCTTCTGGGAGTGGAACTAGTAGCCTTATAATAAGAGGAAGAGAGACCTGAGCTAGCATGTTAGCATGCTCAGCCCCCTTGCCTTGTGATGCCCTGCGCCACCTCAGGACTCTGCCAAGTTCTGCCAGCAAAAGGGTCCTCACCAGATGTAGCCGCTTGACCTTGGACTTCCCAGACTCCCAAACTGTAAGAAATAAATTTCTGTTCTTTATCCAGATATTCTCTTATAAACAACAGAAGATGGACCAAGACAAAAGCCCTTAACTCTCTGAAGGCTGAGAGAGGAGAGGAAGCTACAGAAGAAAAGGTGGAGCTAGCAGAGGCTGGTTCATGGGGTTTAAGGAAAGATGTCTCTATAACATAAAAGTGCAAGGTGAAGCGGCAAGTGCCAGTGTAGAAGCTGCAGCAAGTTATTCAGAAGATCTAGCTGAGATCATTGATGAAGGAGGCTATAGTAAACAACAGATTTTCAATACAGACCAAATAGCCTTCTCTTGAAAGAAGATGCCATGTAGGATTTTAATAACTAGAGAGAAGTCAATGCTTGGCTTCAAAGCCTCAAAGGACAGGCTGACACTCTTGTTAGGGCCTAATGCAGCTAGTGACTTTAAATTGAAACCAGTGCTCATTGACCATTCCCCAAATCCTTAAGGGTCCTTAAGAATTATGCTGAATCTACTCTGCCTCTGCTCTATAAATGGAATAGCAAAGCCTGGATGACAGCACATTTGCTTATAGAATAGTGAATATTTTAAGCCCACCATTGAGACTTACTGCTCATAAAAAAAGATTCCCTTCAAAATATTATTGTTTATTGACAATGTAACTGGTTATCCAAGAGCTCTGATGGAGCAGTACAAGGAAATTAATGTTATTTTCCTGTTTGCTAACACGACATCCATTCAGAAGCTTATGGATCAAGGAGTAATCTCAATTTTCACATTTTATTACTCAAGAAATACATTTCCTAAGGCTATAGCTGTCATAGACACTGCTTCCTCTGATGAAGCTGGGCAAAGTAACTTAAAAACCTTCTGGAAAGGATTCACCATTCTAGATGCCATTAAGAACATTTGTGATTCAGGTGAGAAGGTCAAAATATCAACATTAACAGAAGTTTGGAAGACGTTGATTCCAACCTTTATGAATGACTTAGAGAGAAGTTCAAGACAAGGGAAGGAAGGCAACTGCAGATGTGGTAGAAATAAAAGTTGCCCTTCACAATGGCTGTGCCCATCAGTTGCCAGGTGTTTGATTCAAGGATTTTCTGAGCCTGATGCATTTACAGTGCTATTTGGTGGCCTGGGGAATAATGCTGGTGGCCCTAATTCTCTGGAATTAGATGTACTCAGCACATACCTGGATACACAAAGTGGTTTTAAGGAATGCCCTTGGAGAGTGCCTGGAGTATTTGGTTGAGGCACAGAAAACCCCCAAATACGGTGCTTTGACATGCTGAATTGAGGAAGCAACCTCAAGTTCTCTCTGACTTTCCCTTCCCTGTTGCCTTGCAATCCTGTCTCTCCCAAAGCACAGGAGGAAGCTGTTCTCTGAAGTTCCTTTATCTACATAGAAACTGGACCCCCCAAAGAGGAACAGAATTACTTTTGATTTCTTCCCTGAAGCTTCAGTAACCAGAAAGGATTAAAACTTATATCACAGAGAAAGAGACTGAAAATTAAATACCATATCTAGAGCCCAGGTGAACTTCGAACTTTGTCCCAACCATTATTTGTTCTCTGGTCCCATTTAATTTCCAGAATCAATCATTCACAAGATAATGCCTGCTTTCCAGGTACATTCATTCCTCCTAAAAATCATTTACTCCTACACCCCCATCTGCCTTTCCCCTATGAAGAAGGGCATAAAAGGATTTGGACCTCACTGGGTTATTGGGTAACCAGTCTTCTGCAATTTCCTGTACTATGCACATTGAATAAATTTCATATGCCTATTTGTCCTGATAATCTGCCTTTTGTCAGTTAATTTTCAGCAAATTTTCAGAGGGCAGAGTGGAAGCTTTCCCTTGGCCCCTACAGATCCCTGCAGCCTGGAAGCCTGTGAGGGACAGAGGACCACAGCTGCCTACAGAGGCTGAGATCATTGTCCTTGCCCCAGATAGGAATGTTTGGTTAGGTCTCTATCAACTCCTTTTAGGGGGCTTCCTACGAAACAATCCTAAATTTATGTGCTTTAAGTATGAGAAAAATAAATGTCCATTCAATACTCCCGAGCGACTTGAGAACTGTTCTCCCCTGAACTATAGCAGGAATACCTTGTGATTTGGAGAATTCAGAAAGGCAAAGCACCAGGATTCCCTATTCCTAATGCCTAATGAGGGAACTTCCCCAGGAACAACTGAAAGCTGAGGAATTCCCACAGGCAAGTGCATCCAGTGACTCTTAGGCAGGAGTCTGACAAATGTACCACCTGCCATTTAGGAATTTCTAGGTATAAAGCCTGGTCCCCTCTGTCTTGTTCGTGACTTGCAACAGTAGCCTGGTTTATAGTTAACCCTTTATAAATGTTTGTTGGGAGAATGAATGCACCACCCCTCGTGAAGGACAGACCGGCTGCTGCCCTTAGAGCCTCCAGTCTTGCGTGATTATTAAACTATGATGCCAATGATGCCAGCAGGTGGGCGCCAGGCTCAGTGCAAGAGCTCACAGCAGGCCCGCCAGACTCCCACTGCCCAACCTGGCTCCTCATCCCTGAGTCTACTGTACCCCCGTACCCAGGGCTCTTCCCACTGGAGTGCCGAGGCCAGCCCCGTGAGGTACAGGGAGTCTCCCTGCCAACACCCCTGCTCCGGGCACATCTGGATCTCCCGGGACAACCTTCTAGATGATGGGGACAGCAAACTACAACCTGCAGGCCAACTCTGGTCACTGGCCTGTTTTGTAAGGACC